AATAGAAATTCCATATGATCCAGCAATCCCATTACTGGGTATACATCCAAAGGATTATAAGTCATTCTACTATAAGGACACACGCATGCGAATGTTCATTGCAGCACTGTTTACAATAGCAAAGACTTGGAACCAACCCAAATGCCCATCAAGGATAGTCTAGACAAGGAAAATGTGGCATATATACACCATGGAATACTATGCAGCCACAAAAAATGAGTTCGTATCCTTTGTAGGGACATGGATGAATCTGGAAACATCATTCTCAGCAAACCTACACAAGAACAGAAAATCAAACACCACGTTTTCACTCATAGCTGGGTGTTAAACAATGAGAATACAGGGACACAGGGAGGGAAGCATCACAGACTGGGGTCTGTTTGGGGGATATAGGGGAGGGACAGTGATGGGTAGGTAGTTGGGAAGGGATAACATGGGTAAAAAAATGACAGATATAGGTAATCCCAGCACTTTGGGAGGCCGAGGCAGGTGGATCACAAGATCGAGACCATCCTGGTCAACATGGTAAAACCCCGTCTCTACTAAAAATACAAAAAATTAGCTGGGCATGGTGGCTCATGCCTGTAATCCCAGCTACTCAGGAGGCTGAGGCAGGAGAATCGCCTGAACCCAGGAGGCGGAGGTTGTGGTGAGCCGAGATCGCTCCATTGCACGCCAGCCTGGGTAACAAGAGCGAAACTCCATCTCAAAAAAAAAAAAAATGACAGATGTAGGTGACAGGGGGAAGGAGACAGCAAACCACATTGCCATGTATGTACCTATGTAACAAGCCTGCATGTTATGCACATATACCCCAGAACCTAACATGTAATAAGATAGATATATATATATATATATATATATATATATATATGCAGGAATTTTTACTGGGTACCTATACATGGTTATTTTTTACTTCTTTTTTCTTTTATTCACATGACAAGTCCTAACATTCAATTAGAAAAATGACTAGCTTTGTTTGGGTGTGGTGGCTCACACCTCTAATCTCAGCACATGGGGAGGGCACATCAGGAGGATTGTTTGAGGCCGTGTTCAAGATCAGCCTGGGCAACATAGAGAGATCCTGTGTACAAAATATAAAAATTAGCTGGGCATTATGGTTTGTGCCTGTAGTCTCAGCTACTTAAAGGCTTAGGTGGAAAAATGGCTTACGCCCAGAAGTTGGAGGCTGCTATGATCATGCCACTGTACTCCAGCCTCAGCAACAGAGTTAGACTACATTTCTTAAAGCAAATAAATAAATAAACAAACAAGTATTAATTACTAGCTTTTAATGTGTGTTCTGTGACAAAGTAATAAATGCTCTCTCATAAAATGTATAGTCTTGTATTTCTCCTATATAAAACTATTCAACTACACATATTTAAGTTAAAATTACTTTTAAAAATATGTTTCAAACTTTTCTTTCAGAAATTACTTTTTTGAAGATAAAAAAGCAAATAGTATCAAGTGTTAAATTCTACTAGATTACCTTTGAAGGTCCTTGCAACTCTGAAACAATTTATTCTGTATTTCATCAGTCAGAGTCAATCTTACTAAGTGTAGAAAGGAGAAAATTTGTCTGCATTACACGAATTAATAGAAACGAAAAGGCCTCCTGCCTAACATTAATCTTCCCCCATCTGCTGTAGTGTCTAAAATCTCCTCCCTTCAATACAGTTATTTCTTAAAGATGCTCTTAAGGCTTATGAATTTTACTTGGGTTCAGGTATTATATTAGAAAGGAGGAATAATCAATTAACTTAGATTAATTTACCTAATTACCATCTAATGTCTTGAAAATAAGACCCCACTGGCAAGCTTTGGGGTGAATAGTTGGGAAGAGACCATGATGATTGATCTATGCTGGACTAGTTCAGCACCTTTAGAAGCAGCTTCCCAGCCGGTTAACGTTGCCTCTTTCTGCCTTCACATAAAGGACTATTTCTTGGTAACTTTTTATTCATCTATCATCTTGTACTGTCTTTGCAGAACCATCTTCTTAGGTCTAGTTCTAGCTTCTCATTGTATCACTTTGGCTTGATATTTTTGTAGTATTCTTTCTTTCTAAAGCCTGGAGATCTTTTCCACATATCCATTGTCTTGGGCCAGGCCATTCTGACCTTCCCTTGCTTTCCACACCACCCAGCTCTGAGAGCCCTGGAACTCTGGCTTGTCTTGGAGGGAAAGTTAGGTTCTAGAGCCCAGTGGGGTAGAATTGTAACAAAAGGAGAGAAAAGAGGGGCCAATCTCAGCAGCCAGGCAACTGAAAGAAGGAAAGGCAAAGCCTTAAGATGAACCTGGCTTAATCTATAACCTTTTTTCTAGCACTTGTCAGATATAGCCACATTACTACATACAAAAACTGCCAGAAAAAATTTAACTTGATTATGTTAATGGGAATTACATACAACTGAAGCCAAAAGTATCCTCTGGCTCACTTGCTATAAATATGAGAAAACCAAAGCCAAACAGACAATTTTTCCCTTAAATTGTACAAATACATTGGTTCAAATATCCACCTGACCTTTAGAACTCACCAGTCTGTTACAGACTTATGCTCATGCTAGCAACTCATTTTCCTTAAACTATAAAGTATAGCAACATTCCCATGGTAACCACATATTTTTCAAATTTTGTAGGTACATATTGTCATCAAGCTAAAAACATAGAGGTGAAGAGGTTTACATATCCCATTATCAATTCTAGAGTCATCAAATTTCCTTGATGATGTAGGACATTATCATGTTCCATCCTTTTCTGGTTTTATTCTATTACTGTAAGATAACCCACCTAAGTAGAAAAAGAGGAAGTACTTCCTTTATAGGGTTTATTACATTACACTCTCCCTGTGTAGCAATATTGTGTGGATCAATAGAAACAGCAAATAACAAGCCTTCTGCTTCTTTCATTCATCAATATTTTAAATCAGAACTCTGGGTGGTGGCAAAAAGGGAAACATAACCTGACCTAATTTTTCTCAAGGATTGCCCTCAAATAGGGCTTCATAAATCAATTCAGTAATTCAAAGAATAAACTAAAAAATAAAAGAGTGTTTTGTTGTTGTTGATATTTTGTAGATACATATGTTTTATAAATAATTAACTACACTATCTCTGGGAAATCATTGAAATTATAACATGAGATTATGTGTAAAGAGAAACAACTGCAGCTTGCTGAGCTAATCTAATATTTTGCCCAATGTGGTTTCAGAAAAAAAATTTCATGCTTAATTTACCAACTGCTAATAAGGGAGGGGGAAGGTGCCCATTAATTCATCAATACATCATAATTTGAAAATGTCTAATATGAAACTACACTTGGAGGAAGTTAGCAGGACCCAGATGGAATATTCTGTATAGTATTTCCTTATATTATTCCCAAGCTAATTCAGTCCACAAAACTACTAGCATTATAGGATTGTGACTGGTGCATATCAAAGCTATTTCATTAGCCAATCAAAGTGAACATTTACTGAGTGTTCACTCACTGAGTAGGCTGAAAACTGTGTGGAAACTACAGGCTTTATTTACAGGTTAGTAGTAAAAGGCAGTTTTAAAACATGAAATTTAAACGTTTAAGAGTGAAACACTCATTTTAGTAATTTTAGTCAGCAAAACAAGTTTGTTCTCCCTTTCCTTTTCCTTTTTTCCAACTTGCCCTCCTTCCTTCCTTCTTCCCTTTTCTTCTGCAAATATTTATTGAGTACTTATATGTTCTAGGCAATGATCAATACTGAGTAAATAACAGTAAACAGATTCAACAAGTTCTGTGCTGTCATAATGCTTATTCTGGAGTAATCATGTGATAAGCATATACATGAACTAATTTCAAATGTTAATACTATAAGGAAAAATAAAACTGGGAAATTATATAGTGATAGAGTAAGTATGCATAAATAACAATGGAAAATAACACCATGATGTCTCCATGGTAGATACCATTAAATAGAATGGATTGAGAAGGTCACTCTGAATATTGACATTTTAGCTGTGACTCAAGTGATAAGAAGGATACATTAAAGTGAATCTCCCAGGAAAAAGCATTACAGGCAGATAAAAAAGAAACACAGTTGAAGAAGGACAAGAATACAAGTGTGCTGGCATTGGTGATGAAACAAGAGCAGTGGGAGATCTGACATTGGAAAGGGAAATGGTATCAGGACATTAGGCCCTTAGAGGTCCTGTGAGAAGTTTAGATTTTATTTTCAAGGTGAGTGAAAGTTATCGGGAGATTTGAAGCAAGAGAATAATATGATCTGGTTTATGTTTTAGTAGCAGATCTCTTTATTATGTAAAAAAGTAATTTTGGAGGTAAAGCAGGAGGGAATTTTTAGATTCCTAACTAGAATCTATTGTAGTAGACCAGGAGAAAAATAGGTACTTCAAGTCAATTAATCCACATCTTTTGAACAAATTTTTGCTAATTAGAAACTTCCTGTAATAGGCTTGGCATGGCAGCTCATGCCTATAATCAATCCCAGATCTTTGGGAGACTGTGGCGGGTGAATAGCCTGAGGCCAGGAGTTCAAGATGAGTCTCACCAACCATGCACCTACTAAAATGCCGAGACCATGCATCTACTAAAAATGCAGAAATAAGCCAGGTGTGATGGTGCATGCTTGTATTCCTAGCTACTTGGGAGGTCGAGTCAGGAGAATTACTTGAACCTGGGAGGCAGAGGTTGAAATGAGCTAAGATCATGCCATTGCCCTCCAGCCTGGGCAACAGAGCAAGACTCCATCTCAAAAAAAAACAAGAAAAAAAGAAAAAAGAAATAAAATTTCCTTTTTGGAAGGAGTAATGAAAGGAGTTTTATAATGATTAGTGACAACTGAAAGAATTGCTCTGGATTCCTAACTATAGAGAAGCGTATTAAAATGAAGAAAAATCTCCCTCTTCAACGTCCATATTTCTACTGTACCACATCTCTAATGAAAAAGAACTGTAAAAAGAAAACAAATAATTCTTGAAAGACAAAACAAAAAAGTCATAACTTACCAATTTTAGCCTTGCAAGACCTGTTGTCTGGTTGCATTAGGTAGCCTTCCACACAACTGCAAGTGTAAGATCCGTGTGTATTCGTGCAGGTCTGGCTGCATGTACCATAAACAGCACATTCATCTTGATCTAAAAGGAAAATTGGCATCATTTCTAAGCAGTTGTATCTTGAGCATTTTCTTCTCTCCTTGAAGAAAATATTATTTTTGAACTTTGGAAGTAGACTATTAAGGAAAAGCCAATTCCAGTGAGTCTTTTCAAAACCACACTACCTAAAATTAAACTTTTTGTTGCCTTAACATTTACAGAGACAAAACATCAAACAGGATCAAATCATATATTTGAAAAGAAGGTTTATTTGCATTTGTGATAGGCAGGCTAGAAGTCCTTGGATATTTTTGCAAAGGTACAAAATGTACTCCAATTAGTATTTGTTGAATAGTTCCAGTGTTTATGACACTGACTTTTCACTATTGTAACAAAGATTTATACTAGTAATGTGATTTTCAATCAACAGATTAAATAAGAGTTCTTGGGCCATATTATACAAATCACACTTACTACTTAAAAGAGAGAAAATGGTTGAGCACCTACTGAAAATAGAGACTTTATCTTAATTAAATTTTATTTTAATGTCTGTAGTCCCTTCTTCTATTCCTTCACTCTATTTCTCTATATACTTCCTTCCTCTGGTATCCAGTTCAAATCTCTATGAACAACAGATCCTCAATGATTCCTAACTCACCAAATGAATAAAAAGGCATCTTTGTCAGTAGTTAATTGAACAAATTTATATTCAGTCTGTTTTATGTACCAACAACTGTACTAATCTTTTCAGAAGACAAAGTAAATAAAATAAGGTCCCTACCCCTGAGTAACACAAGTCTGGAGAAACATAATTATGATAGCAATCATTTCCTTATGATAGGGGCATACTCTAGTTATGATAAAAACAGGGAAGCCGCCAGGCGTGGTGGCTCACGCCTATAATCCCAGCACTTTGGGAGGCCAAGGTGGGTGGATCACGAGGTTAAGAGATGGAGACCATCCTGGTCAACAAGGTGAAACACCGTCTCTACTAAAAATATAAAAATTAGCTGGGTATGGTGGCGCGCACCTGTAGTCCCAGCTACTCGGGAGGCTGAGGCAGGAGAATTGCTTGAACCCAGGAGGCGGAGGTTGTGGTGAGCCGAGATCACGCCATTGCATTCCAGCCTGGGAACAAGAGCGAAACTCCGTCTCAAAAAAAAGAAAATAACAGGGAAGTGAAACTGCTTAGGATTAGAAGGGGAATGTTAAATGAAGACTTCATGGTAAACAGTGTGAAGCCTGATGTGGGTTTACTCAGACTAAGTGGAAAGAGATATTTCAGCTGATCAAAAGGGCATGTGAAAGGCATCAGGACCGTATCATGGGGGTTTCAAAGAAGAAGCATAAGGAGTCAAGTGAAGCAAGGGTATAGGAAGGGAAGCGGTAGAAGAGATGAAACTGGGCAAGTAAATTGGGAGCCAGATAATGAAGGTAGCTGCATGCTGAACTAAAAGATTGTACCTTACAGATTGGCATTGGGAAAGTTTTAATTAGATGAGCCATGTGATCAGCTTTGCATTTCAAAACTAAATGAATTCATATGAAACAAAGGTTTTGGTAAGTGTGGAGAAGGGATCCTGGAAAATTAGGTATGTGCTAATTGTATCCAATAAATTGTCTTTTGAAATTATGTTTTGAATTAAGTCAGTGGCAGTGGAAATGAAGAGGGAATAGATTCAAATGTGTAAGAAGTAGAATAGACAACATTTGAAAACTGGTTGGATGTGACGGAAGTGAAAATTGATCCAATTTTGAAGTGGGGAATACAAGAGGTGTAGATTTGAATGGCTCTATCATGGCAGGAGATAATGAGTTTGATTTGGTTGTGTTAAATGTGAGATGTCTATAGGGCAGCCTTGAGTAAATGCGTAGCGATGAGCAATTGAGAATGGAACTGGTAATATCAGGTGAGATCTGTCCTGGAGTATTTGGAAGTCACTAGCATATAGAGTATTGATTTTAAAAATAGGAGAGAGCCATTTCTCACAGAGGAAGGGGAAATGAGAAAAACTTGGCTACTGCAAAATACTATAGGATACCAATGTGAAAAGGACAATCAAGAAAGAGGAATCAGGGCTGGACGCAGTGGCTCATGCCTGTATTCCTAGCACTTTGGTAGGCCAAGGCGGGCATATCACTTGAGGCCAGAAGTTCGAGACCTGGCAAAGCCCTTTCTCTACTAAAAATACAACATGGCAAAGCCCTTTCTCTACTAAAAATATAAAAATTAGGCATAGTGCTGTACACCTGTTGTTCTAGCTACTCAGTCATCAGAGGAACAAGAATCACCTGAACCTGGAAAGTGGACGTTGCAGTGAGCAAACATTGTACCACTGCACTCCAGCCTCGATGGCAGAGCAAGGCTCTGCCGAGAGAGAGAGAGAGAGAGAGAGAGAGAGAGAGAGAGAGAGAGAGAGAGAGAGAGAGAGAACGCTACAGTCTCCTGTGAAGAAAATTAACGAATAATGTAAGAAAAAAATCGAGAAATGAGAGCTTTTCTGGAAGACTACAATGTTTGAAAGGGTTATATTCAATGCATAAATTCAATAAGATCAAGATTAAAACTGCCATTTGGATTTAGGACATTTTTGTAGTGATGTTGGCGTAATGTAGGAAAAGAAGGGCACATAGTCACAAATGGAAGGCTGGTCTTACCTGGAACTTGTTTTCACTGAGTCCTTAAATAAGAAATACAAACTTAGACTTATTAACAGAGTTTGGTCCTCACAACTTGGGAATGGAGACAAACGATAGTTTGGGACTTCTGTAATTAATTTTGGAGAAAGAGGGTGAGAAGAAAACCAGAAAAAGGAAGAGGAGAGCAAAAGGTAATAGGATGGATTGAAGTTGTGGTACTGAGGGGGTTAAACTAAGGTGACATAATAAAAATGTATATTTGGCCTTTGTTCAAAGTGCTTGGCACAGAGCTCTAAAACTCTTGGAATTTGTTGAGTAACAGGAGTGTCTTTAGTTATTCATAATGAGCTCCTCTAGAATACACCTAAGTCTATGCTAATGAGGTGACTCATAGTGGGGTCCCTAGGGAGTCTCAGACTGGGGGCTGGTCATCAAAATACCAAACAGTGGATTAGAGTGTGGAAACTTTCAGCACCACCTCCTGACCTCCAAGAGGAAAAAAAGGGGATTTGGGGTTGGGCTAAAAAAACTCATGGACAGTGAGGCTTGGAGAGCTTCTATTTTGGTGAAGACATTGGAGCCCTGGGGGGATCAGGTGCCTAGACAGGGCATACAAGCTTCCCTCTTTTTCCTTCCCATTCCTTGCCCTATGCATCACTTCCATTTGGCTTTTGCATTCTTTATAATAAACTAAAAACTTAAGAAAAATATTTTCTTTTTCATTTTTAAATTATTCCTTAAGTTCTGGGGTAAATGTGCAGGTTTTTTACATAGGTATACATGTGCCATGATGGTTGACAGCATGCATGTTATCCCTCCCCTGTTCCCCTACCCCCTGCTATCCCTCTCCTAGCCCCCCACCCTCCGACAGGCCCTGGTGTGTGATGTACCCTTTCCTGTGTCCATGTGTTCACATTCTTCAATACCCACTTATGAGTGTGAATAAGTGGTATTTGATTTTCTGTTCTTGTGTCAGTTTACTGAGAATGATGGTTTGCAGCTTTATCCATGTTGCTGCAAAGGACATGAACTCATCCTTTTTTAGGCTGCATAATATTCCATGGTGTACATGTGTCACATTTTCTTTATCTAGTCTATCATTGATGGGCATTTGGGTTGGTTCCAAGTCTTTGCTATTGTGAACAGTGCCACAATAATCATATATGTGCATGTGTCTTTATAACAGAATACTTTATCATCCTTTGGGTATATACAAGTAACGGAATTGCTGGGTCAATGGTATTTCTATTTCTGGATCCTTGAGTAATCACCACACTGTCTTCCACAATGGTTGAACTAATTTACACTCTCACCAACAGTGTAAAAGCATTCCTATTTCTCTACATCCTCTCTAGCATCTGTTGTCTCCTGATTTTTTAATGATCACCATGCCAGTTAATGATGCCAGTTATAACTGACATGAGAATGTGGTTTTAATTTGTATTTCTCTAATGACCAGTGAGGATGAGCTGCACAAATGTCTTCTTTTGAGAAGTGTCTGTTCATATCCTTTGCCCACTTTTTGATGGGGTTGTTTTTTCTTTTAAATTTGTTTAAGTTCTTTGTAGATTCTGGATATTAGCCCTTTGTCAGATGGGTTGATTCCAACATTTTTTCCCATTCTGCTGATTGCCAGTTCACTCTACTGAGAAATTCTTTTGCTGTGCAGAAGCCCTTTAGTTTAATTCAATCCCATTTGCCTATTCGGGCTTTTGTTGCTATTACTTTTTGAGTTCTCTGAGTTGTTGTAGTGAATGAATGCATCTGAGGAGAGGGCTGTGGGAATGCTCAAATTTATAGCCAGTTGGTCAAAGGTATAGGTAAGCCCTGGAACTTGTGACTGGTACCTGAGTCTTGCAGGACTAGGCTCTTAACCCATGGGGTCTACACTACCTCTGGGTAATATCAGAATTGAGTTCAATTAAACTGCACACTCAGTTGGTATTAGAGAATTAGGTAATTTATGTGGAAAAATCCCACCCAATTTGGTGTCAGAAGTGATATCAGAAAACTGGCATGTTAAAAAATCCCCAGCGAAGGGGTAGCCTAAGTGTTTTAATATAGGAATATCAAAAATTACATTTGAAATTATTTGTTTGTTATGATATAAAACCTTTTCCTACTAAGTCTTCAGTTAATCTCACTACATATACAAATTGTATTGTTTGCATGGATTTTAAAATTGTGCAAACTCTAAGAAAAGAACTGAGTTTTACTTCTGGGTGGATGAGTAAGGAATTGGGAAAATCCATATATAGTCTCAAAATGTTACATAAATAAGAAGGTGGAGTTTGAATCAAGATTATAAGAAATATAGAAGCTCTGGAAAACTGCAGCTATGCTGAGTAGCCTCTAAAAATCCTTAGAAAATAAAAGTGAGGGTTTTAATTAGATTTTAAGGAAAAAGAGATATTTAAAGTTGCTTTACTAAAATTACAGAATGAGAATCTAGATAGCAGTAAATGGAGGAACAACGTGAAAATAACCTAATTGTGGATGTAAATGTAGTTGATTGTTAAAGTTTTTGGATAATAAAGGAGGAAGATACAGGAATGCCGGCTATAGGAGGAGATAGGATATAGAGTGGGTATTTGTTGTGTTTTTGTTTTTTGTTTTCTTTTAGTATAGAAGAAATGTGAGAATATTTATGGATACGGTGTTAGTGCAAATGTAGTGTTTAAAGATACATAGTGAGTAGAAATTGATAGTCCAAGTTAAGACAAAAGTTTGGGTGAATGGGATTTTTAATATGTATGAAAAAAAAAGACTAGAAGTAGTAAAGCTCTTCTTCTGAAATGACAGCAAAAGCAGCATGGGTGGATACACAAGTCAACAGTGAGTAGAGAGGGAGAATATGTTGCAGAATGAATACAAGATGGCACCCAGAATGTAAAGAGCCAATGATTAAGACCAAAGAGAATAGATTAAGGAAACATATTGTGAAAGAATAAAGAAGGAATTGAAAGGAATGGTCAAGTGCATTATAGCAGATACTGTCTGCTCCTATCCCTCAGATCTTTCAGTGTGATTCTACAGTCATAGGGATCTTTATCTGTGCCTGAGCGTACTTCCAAACCCTTCTTCCTCTCCCACCAAAAGCTCTGCCAGGACTCAAGGCAGGTCAAGGTTGCAGGAGGGATAATAACACTTCCAACACAGAAATAAACAAACAAATGTGCTCCTCAGAAACTGGTGTATACATGCCTGAGTTCCCTTGTCTCTCACGCTAGAAAATTTTGCCACACACTTAAGCTTCAGTCGCCCTTTGTTGTAGCTTCATTGCTCCAACTATGGGGGATTGCCTTTCTCTTTCTGTATCCTCTGAACCCCACCACCAAAAAAAAAGAAAGAAAGGAAAGGAAAGGAAAGGAAAGGAAAGGAAAGGAAAGGAAAGGAAAGGAAAGGAAAGGAAAGGAAAGGAAAGGAAAGGAAAGGAAAGGAAAGGAAAGGAAAGGAAAGGAAAGGAAAGGAAAGGAAGAAGAAAGAAAGAAAGAAAGAAAGAAAGAAAGAAAGAAAGAAAGAAAGAAAGAAAGAAAGAAAGAAAGAAGAAAGAAAGGAAGGAAGGAAGGAAGGAAGGAAGGAAGGAAGGAAGGAAGGAAAAGAAAAGAAAAGAAAAGAAAAGAAAAAAGAAAAAGAAAAATCTGCAATGGCAAATAATGGAAAACAGCCATGTGAATCCTTGTTTCAGGGTTGGCTTCTAGGAATATCCATGCTGAAAAAAGAGTTTATTACGAGAAAGCAAAAAAGATTGCTGAGTAGCAGAAGAGCCATTTAAATTGTGAAACTACACATTTGTATGGCATCCATAAACTAGGATATCTTCAGAGTCATGCAATAGCCAGTAGTCATGGATGGCTCATTTGAAGGAAATACTTTTGGCGACAGAAAAAAATATAGTGTTTGGAGCTAAGTCTACAGTAATACTGAATGAAATTAAGGCTTGTATTTGGTAAAGTCTGTCTTTGATAGCAGTCATAATTCTTATATATTTTCATAGATTTTTCATCTTTAATATTACTGGTTTCTGTTCAGTTTTTCTGATATGATTATGTTGCCTGGGAGAACAATATGATCACTTATCTCCTTTGTTCTTTCCACTTCACCAGAATGTACTGCAGTAGAACTCCACAACATTGACCACAAAGAAACAGGCATACCACTACTTGTAATGCTGCCTTCTTTTCTCCTTTAAATAATGAGACCTACCTGGAAATACAGCTTTGAGAAAGCCTAAATGATGCTCAGGTCTGGCTCTCAAGGAGTATAGAGAAAGTACAAACAGCTCCTCTCCTACTGGTTACTTCTAAAGTGATTGCTATGCAATTCTTCACTGATGCTCCACAGAAGAAATTTGTTATGGTTGTGGTTGTTTTTATGCACTTAACTAAACACATAAAACAATTAATTAACCACTTTCAGTAACGTGTGCATTTAACTCAGCTCCACACTTGCAAAGGGAACTGCAGATTTTGATTATTATAGGAGTCAGGTGTAGTAAATGAGCGAGAAGGATGCAGAATAGACATCTAAGCCAAACACGTACGAATGGCAAGGACTTTGAATTGGAAAGAGCATGCATGTTCAAAGGCATTATTCATGTCTGGCACTATTTATATCTGGCTGACTTCTGTGATTATGAGGCATCGAGTGTTGCCCTGAATTTCCAGATCATCTAAACTTTTGTGTGCAATTTTCTATTTTTAAATGTTGTTTTAAAAGAACATGAGTCAAATAAGTATGTGAGTTTGGCCTCCCTGTGGTCAGATTATGCACTGTCTGGGTCTGATAAACACTTGATAATTAGTGTTTTTATACCATTTATATTATGCACAAAACAAGCAAACAACAAACTAAAATTCTATTCCCAATGTACCTGAAAAGACAATGAGCTTCTTCGGGATAAGACTAAGTGGGTTCTGCAGACTTCAGTTTCAGTCTCAGTTCTATTACTAAGATGTGTGGACTTAAGTCAATTAACTTATCAGGATCTCGATTTTGTCATTAAGATTTTAAATAATTCCCTCTAAGAATTCTTTCGAATTTAAGATTCTAAGGTAAAAGTGATAATATTAGAGAAAATATTTGAAGTCATCAGCAAAGCACTAATTTATTTGGAAAGTATTCTATTTATTAGTGGCTCTGGCAATGCAGCTATTCCCTGCACACACACACACACACACACACACACACACAGAAGGAATGAGTCAGAGAAAGACATACTCTATATTATAGATAAGAAATATTATATGTAGAGATATGTAGAAATAGACATAGATTCTAAGTATCATGTAAAGCAATGTGTATAACTTTGTGGATATATTAGATTATATATACATATTAATATGTGTATAATTGGAATCAACTGAATGGAAAGATAATCTAAAATTCTTCAGTATGGATGAAGGCAGTTGTTTTGGAGAATAAACATTTACTATAAAGTATTCACAAAAGCAAGAATCCAGATATTTAAAAAAATCAATATGATCATTATTATATTATTATTGTTATTGGTAAAATGCCAGCTGCCAGAATAACTAATTCAAAAATTATAAAGAACATTACATGATTAGTAACTATTAATTGAATGTAGTTAATAACAAATGTCTACTAGACTGCAGCTATGTAACAGCTGCATAGGAAGTTAAAATAATTAGATCAGTGTGTTAAGGGTTAACCCAAACATTTCTCATTGTTAAGATTCCTCAGGTTTGAAATTACTGCAAAAAAAAAAATCAAATTTGATTGTCATAAATGTATACATATAATGTTTATGTTTCAGTGTGGGGGCAAATTTTTAAATCTCAAGGAAGAAAAGTTAACATAAACATTCTGTGGAGCACATGGTAGGTGCTCAAAAATGTCTTCTTGTATTTCTGTTAATTAAGCATCTATAAACAAAATTTGATAGAGTTATGTGTTTTATTTACCTTTACAGCTTCTCCCATCTTCTTTTATTTCAAATCCATCCTCACAGTAACATCTTGTACTATTTCTGACCATTGTACATTTATACTGACAATTCAACTGTTGGCAATTGGATAATAGTTCTGCAGAGAAAAAACAAATACATTCTCTGTAATTAACTGTTCATGTAAATACTGTTTATGATTATTCAGTGAACAATCCTTACAATACAGTCTTGATTGTTCTCCCAGAAAGTGTATGTGATTGGTCCAGAAAAAAATATTTATCTAAAATATGTTAGTTTACATTTGCTTGAATTATTGTAAATAGCATTTGAGATCAATCTGTTTGGTCTCCCGCTTTTTAGCCTATTACTATGTTCATAGTCACAAAACCTCTCAAATTTTTGTAAATTAAATTATTTCAAGAGGAAAGATGTCAACTCTGTGGTTGATTTTGCCATCTATGCTTTTCCAATCTGACACATCAATTGATTTTCTATCTTTTGAGAGCTTGTTTTGATTTACCAATCCATGTGTAACCTTCATAGAAATCAATGTGAATATATCTCATTTCAATATTTTATTTTTCATTGGTAGAAAAATACTAGAAAAATACTGAACATAATATATTTCATTATATCTGAAATATTTTAGAGAAAAGACATGATTAAAGCAATATTTAGCAAACCTTCAGAGCAAATTAGGATTGAATATGATAAAAGCATGAAATAAAGATGACGTGACAGGAGCACATTCATTGCAGAAATAATTTCTAACAGAAATAAGGTTCTCTAAACTAGATAAATATTGGATAGAAGCATGACTATCTGAAAATAGGGCTATAAATGGATCACTACAATGCTGTTGTTTTTACTCTTTTCACCAGGTAGGCACATAAGAGTTTTGAAGATTAAAGTAAAATGAATTTAAAATACATTGATATTTGCCACAAGTTGAGCTGGTGCTACAGAAATAAAATACAAATTATAATTAAAAAATAAAAGTCCAATATGTAAAAGAACACCCGGAATATTCCAAACTGAACATTGGGTATTGTATTATAAATGTAATTATCTATAGTATTTCGTTAGTTCAATTACTGCTCTGCAGTCTCATACAATTATTTCACATATCTTCTCTTCTTAAAACTGCAAACCTCCTTTCCAATAATCACTCATATATGATGATCTTGCTCCTTTTTCTTGAGAAAACTGAAGCAATTAGAAGAGATTTTCCAGATTTATACTGTTTCTACTCACATCTGCATAGTCTGCATCCCCTTGGATTTCACAGTTAGTTGAACTGATAATCAAAGCTCCCACCAAACATCCTATGCATAAATCCCATCCACTTTCACCTCCTCAAGGATGTCACTTCAGCAGTGCTACACTTTATGTGGATAGAATCAGTCCAAAATTGGCTTGAATCTATATGCCATTTTAATTCAATATTTATCAAGCACATCGTCAATGCTAATCACTCTGCTAGAGTTCCACAGATGCAAAATTCCTTCAAAAAATAAAATATTTACAATAAGAGTGTGGAAGTAAGTGGGATTAAGTGGACAGAACAACAATGTAAAACAACATTTATAAATAACGGTAGCAAAACACATACGCTAAATAAAAATACAAGAGGTAGGATTTAGAAAGAGAAAGATTCATCTAGAAGGTGGATATGCGGGAGTATATCTGAGAAAGAGTTGTAGAGGTAGTTGGAGTTGGGACTTTAAAAAATAAGAGTTTTGACAGACAAAATTAAAGAGAATGTTGCCCAAATAAAGAGGACAATACAAGAAAGTAAACGGAAAGGCCTGAAAGCATACAAGAAATATAGGCAACAACAGTTAATGCTGCATTGCTAATCTATAATGCTGGACGTGGTTAAAAAAAAAAAAGGAGAGAGATACTAAAATTGTTTTTTGGAGACAGATCAAGGTCAATTAATTCACAGATTATGTAGAATTTTCTGTTTAGGCAACAGGAGACATTGCTGGTTATTAAGGACATTAGTGACACATTCTGACTTGTATTGTTCAAAAGTATCTAATAGTAGAGAAAAAGATAATAAAGCAAGAAAAGCTATCTAAGTGATGAGGAATGGCAAAATAATACATTAAAACTATGAGCATTTGCCTAGAAAGATGGCCAAAAATGTGGTTAAGGCATAATGACCCTATATGAGTAGTACTAAGAAAATGAATTAAGTATAACAGAAGTTTACAAAAAGTTTGGAAAGAAAATACTGTTTGTCTTTGATTTCATTGAGTTTAAAGTATTGGCAATGCAATAGCCAGGGAGAAATTGAGAATTTGTGTCTATCTTTGAAGAGAACTTGGTAGTGGAGATACCAGTTTGGAAGTCACAAGCATAAAGTTGGTCATTGAAACCTAAAGAGTAAAGAAGCATTCCCTTAAAAAAGAATGATTGGGATACAAATATAAAACCCAGAGAACTTCTTCCTGTGGAAATCAAACAGAAGAAGAGACAGCAGTGATAAGAACTACCACCAAGAAATACTGTGAAATAATCAAGTACATAAGTGAAGAACCCAGAAAGTTTCACAAAACCTAAGGAAGAAAAGTAGTCTATAGAATCAAGCGGGAAAATCAATGTTAAATTCATTAAGAAATAAATATGGTTGAAGCCTGTAAAGTGCACTAGGTTTCCTAATAGGATCGATTGAGGGTGTTAAAAAGCATTAGAGTGGAGCAGTGAAGATAAAGGTGAATGTAATTAGGGGTTGGAACAGAAAGAGGAAGCAGGAAAGGTTCCTCACACGAAATAGATTCTGTTACAATATAAAAAGAATGAGGGTAGAGATATGATCTAATTCATTTAGTCTCTACCTTAATGCAGGTGTTCACTCCGTGAATCAAATTTATTTCTTTTCGGTGTAATACCTGGAGCCTAGATGCACCTTTTCACTGTGTCAATCCAAACTAGAAAACCCAAATTCTATGAATTCCATCTTTCTACTCTCTCTACTTGAAATATTTAGAGACTGGAGAGTGAATACTGAAAAGAGGCAGGGACGGTGGGCGAGGTTAGTGATAAGGAGACTTGAAGAGAAATACAAAATGGCCAAAAAATTAATCTGAAAGACCAGACCTCAAACAGTGTTAGGGGGAGATCCGTTGGTTGAAAGCAAAATATACAAAGTCAACTTAGCTTTTAGTTTATTAAATTTATCCTGTGTGAAGATTTGTATATGTGCAGAGTCATGACAACGAGAGGATTAAACAGTAAATGATATTGGGTAAAATGGTAAATATTGATTCTGCTAACAAATTGTGAAGAACCATGAAGAACTAACAATACGAACACTTAAATTTAAAATTTGGCTTGACTGCAAAAGCAATACTAATTATTGTAGTTATCTACTTGAACTGCTTAGCATTTATGCTTAATTGCATGCAACACTGTAATGACTATGAACATAGTTAAAAGCATATCAGATTAATTTTGTTAGAAAACTTATTTGAATACAACAAAAAATTTTGTACTTGAATCATTAGTATTCACTCAACTGACTTTCATGAAGCATAGCCATTGGCATATATAACATTATCACTGGTTTGGAACCTAAACTGTAGTAGGAACACCACTAGCATCTTAGTGAAGTAAATATGCAAGTGGGAACACAGACATATAAACATAGCATCTGATCTATCTTCCCCAGCATTATCATAAAATGAAACTATCTTTTTAATTAAAGGAGAGGAACTGTCATTTCACAAATCAAATCTAAGCTAAATGATGAAGATTTCCCTAACACAGATCTACTTTGTTCTGTTTTAAGGAATTTTTTATGAACTTGACATGATTTGGCTCTGTATCGCCACCCAAATCTCATGTTGAATTGTAATCCCCAATTTTGGGGTAGAGACCTGGTGGGAGATGATTGGACATGGGGGCAGATTTTTCCCTAGCTGTTCTCATGATGGTAAGTGAGTTCTTATGAGATTTGCTTGTTTGAAAGTGTGTAGCACCTCCCCCTTTACTCTCTCTTCTTCCTGCTCTGGTCATGTAAGTTGTGCCTCCTTCCTCTTTGCCTTCCACCATGATTGTAAGTTTCCTGTAGCCTCCTCAGCCATGCTTCCTGTCGAGTAGAATTGTGAGTGAATTTAAACTTCATTCTTTAAATTACCCAGTTTAGGTAGTTCTTTATTGCAATGTGAGAATGGACTAATATGTCTCTCATCAAAATTGCAAAACAGAGTATTATCAAAATATGAGAATACCTTCTCTATCAAATGCAAGGTGACAGTTTACAAGTAGTGGGTAGCTTTGAGACATCAAAACTTCTAAGCCATTTGATTTAGTGCTAGTCAAGAAATAGATATCTGAAATTGTGTCACTAATAAATGGTAAGTGGGAGTCTAAAAGAAGAAAATTCATAGTAAAACGAAAATTTCTTTCACCACTTATCTTGTTTTCTGAATAGCAGCAGAGTATTATGTTGAGGCCTTGGTCTCTGCAACAAGAGTGCTTTACCTCCAGCTGTTTTAGTAACTTCAGGCTGTGTGAGTGTGGCAGAGAATAGCTAAATGTGTATCAATCTTGTTTCCTCTTTCTAGGCAAATAAAAAGATGACATTCCCCAACTGTCTTCCAGCTATGTTGGAGCCATATTTGTGTCTTCTAGCCAATATAACACAGACAGAACTGGTGTGTGCAACTCCTTGACCTCATGCTTACAGCATCCTGACAGTCTTCTACTCTCTGTACACTTGTCAGCCATCTGGGTGCCACGGATCAGGCAGACTCCTCACCCGTTGAGATGGCAGAAGCCCAAAATGGAAAGAGCCTGAAACATCACATGGGAATGAGGGATTGTGTTAAGGAAAACCGAGACCACAAGGGGCGTGGTTTCCAAGACAAGAGCTTCCCAGTGCCATGCATCCGTCCACCTCCCACCAGGGAACCAAGAGTTCTTTATCTAAATTTCCTGCGTATGGGCTAGGTAAATTCCAGGCGAGTTCCTTTGTTCAGAAAGCCCACCAAAGCCCTGGAAGGAGGAGCTGTGTTGTGGGCCCAAGCAATCAATCCAGGATTAAAGTCAAAGATCAATCACTCCAGAGGAAGTTTTAAAAAAAACTCCTCTTATTGGACAAGAACATGAACGGGGCGGAAATAACTT